CGGTCAAGTGTTTCTATCACAAAATCATCTTCGTCATCATCTAAATACGAAAATGGATTTCAAAAAAATTCATTAACGTACATTAATTATTTCTTTTTTCTACCATTTCTTGTATGCTTATTTAATTTCGACATTAGAAACATTTGTAGCGCCACTTTGACCGTACTTAATGTTTGCAACTTTGATAGTATTCAATGATCGGTTCTATGAAAGCGTTAGAATAAAAATGATTGAAGCATTCAGTAAGATCTGTTTGACCGCACCCTTAAAAGGTTAATATGGTTTTACTTCTCGAACAATAACATATATATTTAATGTTTTTTAAATAGAAGTTTTAGAATATTATCATTTATATCAATATAGTTAATATTTTTAATGAATTACACACACACATACACACGCGCACACACACGGTTATAAGTTATAGATTAAGATTAGTCAAATATTACAATTTGTTTTACACATACCCTAACAGCAATGTAGATACTGAGAATGTTCAAAGAATATCGCAAAAGTACAATGCATATATTCTCAGAATATTCAAAATACATATTATGATATACTAAGTATATACTAAGAATACTCTAATGTCTACCTATTTTGGTTAATAGCAAATACTGAGAATATCTTGTAGTATAATTCATATATGTAACAAAGATACTTTTAATAAATGCAGTAAACGCACACACTATTTCTCATTTTAATTTCAAATAATCTTTTTAATATTCTGAACCCCAACAAAGAATCTAGAACAACTAAACTACTAAACATATGAAAAATTTTAAATTAAGTCAGTTTATTATAAATTAAACTGACTAAAAAGAAAAAAGAAAAAACTTTGGAACTCATGTACCAGTCTTTTATATCCATTTCACCAAAAATTAAGTACGAGTTTAGTGGCGCGCGTAGCGGTAAAATGAGGAAAAACAATATTATAGAATATCCTGAAAATATACAAGAAAGAATATACTAATACAAGATAGCAAAGTATATATTCTGAGAATATATGAAAAATAATATACAACAAGAGATGTTATGGGATTATTCTCAGTATATTACATCTGTAACGTATATTTACAGTATGAGTATAAAATATTCGAATGATATCATGTGCTGTTAGGGTAATGGCTACGTGCCAATATTCATTGCCAGTATTGAAAATCTATAGTCTACGTGATGTACAATATAGATTTTCAGTACTGGCAGTGAATATTGGAATATAGCCAATAATATATCATATATATATATATATATATATTTTTTTTTTTTTTCAGCTTCTTTAAATATAAAATTCTGTGAGAAAAGTGATATTTATCAAAGTACTATTTTTGAATATGAATGTTTCTTTATTCATACATATATAATATTGAAATATCATTGCCTTTCTCATTATACATCAAATACATTTCCAGTTAGCAAAATGTTAGCAGGTTGGCAGTAGATTGGCAGCAAATTCGATAAGAATCCCACACCAGAACCGTAGCCATCTGTGTCTGCATTAAGCTTTTGTTTTGGCGACAAAAGCCTGGTTGCACCAACGTTATTTCAACTTTAAGCGAAACTTAAATATATGTCTGTCTTTATTTATTTAGAAAAAAGATAAAGATATACATTGGAATTTTTTGGAGATGAAACTTGTCCTTACTTTTAAGGAGATGACGAGAGGATAAATTCTAAATCTGACAAATGATTTTTAAAACAGAGGCTTTAAGCTTGAGAATGAAAAAAAATTTTCAAATACGACCATTTTTAACGGAGTTATACTTATTTGAAGTTATGCGAAAATTGGACATAAAATTACCTATGCGATAATTTTGTTGACGAGTGTATAATTTAAATTTTCGATTTTTAAATAATTAATGATTTTAAACTTCAATATCAAGAGTTTATGTTTTTTATGATTTTATATCAAACTATTAAAAGCTTTTGTTTCTTATAATTTTATATCTTATTATTAAAAATTTGTGTTTTATAAATTCATTTATGATATCATCATATATAATTATATGTATAATTATATAAGTTCATTTTATGTTACATATTCTATTTATTTCATAAAAATGAAATAAATAAAGCCTTTATTTTGATATTGTTATTAGCTAAATTATTTTCAAAATTATTTCCACTTTTTGTTTATTTAAATTGATGAATATTAAACTAATTTATTAATTGGAATATAAATCTTTTATCTGAAATACTGCTGCAAATATTGCAAAATGTTTTTGTTACATCATATTGCCACAAATATTAAAGACTATGATTTTATATTTTTAAGTATCGAAATAATTATAAAATATTTATACACTAAAATAAATTCGTCTAATTTTTGATAAATATTATTTACAAAATTTTATTCTGGCAAAACTGTTGCGTTATAACGAATCATCTTAATGCAATTATGGAGAAATTTTTTGTCAAGTCATAATGTGAAATGTTCACACATGTTTTCACAATTTTCCTGTCGGGATATTTGAACACCGATCTCGTTTATAGACAAATTCTGACGTATTATTTGCGGTTATGAGAGAAATTTAGAGTTAAAGTATTAAATGATGAATATAGAGAAATTTGCGAAGAAATTTGTTACAAGCTACAATGCAACAATGTCACTTTCAAGTTTTGCAGTTTTAGTAGACAACAGATTGGGAGCAAAAATCAAGCAGTCTTACTACTCAAACAGAATAGTAATGTATGTAATAAATAATTATCTATGAAAACTTAATAAATGAATTCGATCTCAATAAACATATTTATACTAATGTTATATATAAGTGCAATAAAATTGAACTACAGATATTGAATTACAGATAAATAAATATTATCTCTTAGTTATTGGTTAATTATAATTTTCTACAAATAAATATGACATATACATGGTGTCCCGAAACTCATAATCAATCTTTCAAAGACAGATTCCTGAGATCATCTGAAGACGATTTTTCCTCAAAAAATGTCGAGGCACTAATAATTTTCGAATTATAAGTGATTAGAAATAAGGGGTTTTTCGTAAACTAAACCTTGTAGAAATAAAATATTAACAAAACCACATTCTTCAATTAATTTTAAATAGAGTTTACTTTAGTTAAGTTTTAATTTAAGGCTTAATTGCAAAGATATATGATGACAAAAATTGGGAACATGCAAAAAATGATGGCCTTCATCGACATTTTCGCTGAGGAAAAATCGTCTCCAAATGATCCCAGGAATCTGTCTTTAAAAGATTGATTATGAGTTTTGAGACGCCCTGTATATATTATATCATAGTAATAGTTCACATAAGAAACGATTAGTTCAATTTAATTAAATTAACAATAAAATAAATGTTGATAATTAAATTTAACTAATAAAACTCAAGATATCATTTATTTGAAAATTAAACTCTTGTTTTATATATTCAAATAAACAGTAAATGAATAATTTTTCATTTATACTGTTGATCAGATTTCAATATTTTGAATCTTATGTTGAACTTATCAGATATAAAAAATTTAAAATGATAGAAACATTTACTATACTTTTGATTTCTTTTTATTAGTAGACTCATAGATTTTAATTATTTCTAAAGAAATTTAATTGCAAGAAAATACATCGCATAATGATAAACGAAGAAATTAAATCATTATCAAATCAAATACATATATACAGATTCTACTATTAACTTGTCAGATCACGCGTGCACACTCTGTTCGTTTCTGTTGCTCTGACATTAAATTACATATTGCGCAGATTCTGCTGCCAATCTATTATGATAATTCTTTGCAAATCCTACTCAGTTTCTGTTATCGACCTGCTATTAAATTAGCCAAGAGGTTTTGTAACATGCTCACATCTGCTCACATTTTGTTATCATTATTTGATAATGGATTTTACAATCCATGTTCTCCAAGTCCATATCTCTAGTCTTTCTACTGATAATAATTTGTAGCAGACACTTGACAAAATCTATTAAAACAACCTAACTGACTGAAATGAATTTGTACAACTGATATTATATTATACATCTATGATATAATTGTAACTTGTAGTATCATATTCAATCGATTAATAAAATAAATTTTTATTTACAAGTTAAAACATTTTGCATATAATTAATACATATTAAAAAATACAAAATACTCTTGAATAATCTATTATATAAAAGTCTTCGACAAATTTTGAATTGATTGATATTTATCGCTTTCTCAATGAAAATTTCAATAAATTTTTATTTTATTCAACGTATCACATTTTATATAAAATTAAAGATAAAACATTTTATATATTTAACCGTAAAAATAATATTAATAAAAAAGTAGAAAATATTATTTAATATTATTTTTCAATGACATAGTCAATATGAAAATTTGTATAGAAAAAGTAAAAAAAGAAAGAGAGAAAATTAAGAAAAAAAAAGAATTAAATATAATTATTATTATTTATAATTAATATCACATTAAACTTTTTAATATGAATTATAATTTCATCTTTTTATATGTAAACTTTCATAATACTTATAGTTTCATCTTAATAATTAAAGTTTCGCCTTTAGCGTAATTGTAGTCTAAAAAGATTTTGAATTAAAGAAATTGTTTTTCTTTTTATATCTTTTCATATCATTTAATGTTTGTTTAGATACTGTCTACATATTAAGATACGAATATACTGTTTACATATAGAGATACAAATATAATTATTTTAGTATATTTATATAAATTGAGTGAGAATATAAAAAATATGAAAAATTATATAATATTGCATATCTGAATTTAAATATGTATAATTTTGAATATAAATTTCTTGGAAAAACAACAATAATTATGTAATTTTATGCAAATTTACTGTATTTTATTTTAATACTAACTATTTATTAATACTAACTATTTATATTAATTATTTTGAGAAAACAAAACATTATTTTGAGAATGTGAATAATGCACATGTGTGTAAATGTGTATATAAGAAGTAATAAGAGATGGAAAAAAATATTCATAGATATGCAATATAATAAGTATCTCATTTTTTAGTATGAATATGATTATTAGTTTCGAATTTAAATTTAAAAATGTAAAGTTATGAAAAATACTTCGATGGATAAAGATTCATATATTAAATGTATCTTACTAGTACTATTTCGAGTTTTATATTTCTAACAAACGGCAAAACACTTTCGAATAAAGGTGCATTTTCACACACCGCTGGAACAAATAGTTAAAGCAACAGATTTGTCGCTCGTAATCCAGCAGCTACAATTTTGTAGTTTAGATCGATTCAACTACAAAGCATTATCGCTCAAACGATGTGTCAAACGCTGATACATTGCTGACAGTGCTGTATTAATTGTATGTACTAAAATAAAAATGTAGTAAATTTTCCAGTTGTGTTGATGACATACGAAAATAATTCAGAAATCTTGTACTTTCTAATCTCACATTCGGTAAAATAGCTTTGTAAAATCCATATTGAACATGATTTTGAAAAAATGGTGCAACCTAAAAATTTTTTTTTTTGAATAATGTCTTTTTTGTTTCTGATATGTCAATAGTAATATAATAAAAACGATATCATTTTCAAATTATATTTGACGTTTTCGTCGAATTATTTTATTACAATTTGATATCCAATTATAATATTTTCTTCTTTTGGAAGCTACCATTATTGCTTTCTACAACACAACTATCGCTGCAATCTTTTTTCATGTGCACAAGCTGTCGCTGTAATAGTTTAGCGACAAAAGTCGTCACGTGATCATTTTTGTCACTCAAATGATCAGTTTCAGCGGCACGTAAAAATGCACCTTAACAATGTTCCTCGGATACTGTTGGTAAAATTACTCGCGTAATGGCGGGAAGGCGAAAGCAGGACCTGATCTAGGTGTGGCCGGTTTTGAGAACTCAGACTCTGGTATCGGTGATAATTGAGCGGTCTGCGTAACATATGAGCCGAGTTTAAAACGTGGCCTTTTCCTGGAAAAATTTGTACTTCGTCGGCTACTGAGACAGGCTTGATTCCGTTTAGGCATTAGGGAAGGCGATATCGATTCTAAAACGGAAATGTCTCCGGTATTCGAAAACACTTTTCTAATCTTGTGGACGGTATTTGGAAGATCCATAGCGGGTAATCTCGCCGGTGGATGTGGATGATCCGATGATGTTGTTAATTCTGTCACTAATGTTTCGATAATCCGATTTTCATGTTCAGTTATTGTAGGCGCGATGTTTGAAGGATCATCCGGAATTATCTTGTTATTGCAAGAACGGGCAAAAGCCGATGATAAAGTAGTTGCCTTTGATTTGGAGCTTTTTTTTAGACGAGCCTGCAAAAACATCTGTATCCTTCTCATTGTTCCACATGAACGTTTTGTGGATTCGAGACGGTGACCGGTATGACGTTTTCGATCCTTTGCGTCATGTCTACCTTCAGAATAATTCATAATAGAGAAACAACAAGACACCGGGGAAGGCGTGGATGATGATTTTATGTCTGGTGATTCTTCCTTTTCCAACTCTATCCTGTTGATCGAACGCGAGGAGGAGACTTTAATAGAAGTCTCAATGGTGCGTGAGTCATATGAGAAGCAGAGATGGAAATTTCGATTGTCCTTCGTCGAGGGCAATGATTTCGAACAAACACCCTCATCGTTCGCTGCTTTGTCACTGCTACACATTTCTTCATGCGTTGAGGAAACGTATATATCCGTCGTTGTCGTCATCATCGTTGTATCTACACTATTCTTGAATAAAGAACCGTTCTTGCAGAAACGAGAATAGAGGCTTCGTGCGCCAGCCACTTGATTCATATCCTCCTTGTCACTGGTATCACAGTAAGATGCATCGCACAAATTGTTAGAAGTCATTCTAGAGTTAGTGGCGGCGCTGGTAGAGCTTTTCTCTCGCTTTCTACGTACGTATTCGTATGTGGTGAGACCGAGACAAGCAATATAACCATGGAAAAAGCAGAGATGTATGAGCAAAACGGCAGCAATTGCCGAGAGGACACCGATAAGAGTAACAAGGACAAGTGAGCCGGTACCAGGCACCGGCAATGATGGCGCCGTGGCATTATTCATATTCGTATCGTTGTTGTTACCTTCACCCCAATATTCATCGTCCACAACTGAATGCGCATTAATGAGCACCAGCTCGCCCAGAGCAAGCGCGGTGACTGCGAGTGTAATAATTAGGGTTGATGTCAAGCACGCCAAAAATGCCGGATAATTGCGACCGCCGATACAATTGTTTAACCACTTGCAATGGTGATCGAAGCGTGGCACGCACTTGTTACAGATGGAACAGTGCTTAGTGCACAAATCGCGCGTTGTGATATTGCATAAGTGACATCGGCCGTTTTCGATAACGTGCTGATGCTTCGTACGATCAAATTCCGGGACAACTTCGTTGATCGGTCGAGCACGCACTTCAGGATCGGCCGGATCCAGTAGTAGCACCGTCAGATGGGTTAGCACGTGGAGTAGGAACAATACAGCAAACAGCAATAAGAGAATACGGCGCAGATTAGGTAATAGCAGCGGTGTCGTTAACAACACAGTAAAAGTACCGACGAACACGACAATTAGCAATACCCAGCCGATTACTTGTTGAGGATGCAGCGGTAATTGTAGACCATGAACACGGCGAAATTTCCGTTGTTCTGGTGGTATATGTATCGCACTCTGTGAGGAATAACAGCGAATAGTGCGCTTTGCACAGATCTTATTTAGCATTCCTGTTCTCTTTTTTTTCGGATTATTTATTATTTCGGATATATAAACACATCATATATAGATATAATACAACATTATATAATATTGTTATTACCGTTTTCATTTTTATAATTATTATCATTTTTATAAATATTACTTTCGACTTTTCTTTTCTTATGTATTTATAAAAAACCAAAAGTTAGTGTAGTATAAAAACTATATTTTTCTTTGTTTTTGTAAATATATTATAATTCTCTTTAGTTATAATTTTAAACTTATTTTATTAGATATTATTTAATTATATATATGTGTGTGTGTGTGTTGTGTATGTAATAACTAATATGGTTAAGAAAAACGATTTTACTAAAAATTATTATAAAAAATTTTTAAACGTTATATTAAATATATGGAACATATTAAGCAACGCGATGCCAAATACATAAAAATAAATAAAAAGTACTCTACAATTTTACTTTTACAAATGTTTTCACATTATTAACACTAAAAAAATATAACACTTCATTATTAATTGTAATTGCAGCTCCTCCTGCTTTTCATGTTGGTTTTAATATTTTTTTTTTCAATTTTTTCTTATTCGTCTTCGGTATATATTAATAATTCTTAGTTTAAATTTTTTAATCCTAACCCCAGACATATATAATCACTGTGTAATGTAGGCTTATTCGATATCACCCTTAATAACGATACTAAATTTTTGTATCGATGATTTGTTCCTTTAGCAATGTAATTTCGATAAAAGATTTCTTATCTCTTATTTTCTTGTACATTATTTTTATCGCACGGCACAATCGCGAATGATTTCGAATGAATTATGTGTAAGATTTTCTTGAGCCTTTATCGCCTGGGTAAGGCTAACTGACGATACTTAAGCGAATCGATAAATTGTGGTTACCGCGGAAACCAGTCCAGAATCGTCTTGTCGAAGACCTCATCCACGCATGCGATGAAGCAACGTAAACACGCGCGCGCATACTACAGCATATTTCTTATCACGCGAAAAAAAGACACGGAATCGGATGTGTTTAAACACGTAATACGTATCCTTTATTTAAATCATATTTTCTTCTTTTTTTAAGAGGATTTCTCCGAAGCCTCTTATTTTTTTCATTCTTTTTTGCATTTATTTTCACTGATGGCCAGCCAGATTAATCCTTTTTCTTCGGATCAATGTAAGCCAATTAAATATATAGAAAATAATATATAGAAAATATAGAAAATAATATATAGAAATATATATATATATATATATATATATATATATATATATGTATAGAAAATAATATATAGAAATATAAAGAAAATAATATATAGAAAAAAAGAACATCAGAATGTTTAAAGATGTCATACATGTGGATTTTTGAATTTACTCATCTTTTTGAGAAAACTATGAAATTTTGTGTGTGATACCAGTTATTATCTGTTTGAGTGGAAACCATTTCTACTCGTCCGGTTCTATTATAATTTAGAAGTCAAATCGTCATGTAAAATTCGCGAAAGACAATAAGCTAAAATTAGTAATACAAGTAAATAATAACATCGAAATGTTTATAAAAATTTTTCATATAATTATGATATATTAGAAATTTTACTTTATATATTCTTTAGATGTCACTGATAAATAATAAAGAAATTAGTCTACCTATATGTATAATATTGTCATATTATATAATTTTTATTAAATATAATTCAGAAAAAATATTGTATTTTCCAAAATTTCCATTTTACAATAAATTACGATTAATATAATTACGACAATATAAAAATATTTGTAATTTTCTAGACAGCACACGTGTTCCTAAAAAAACAACTTAAAGACGTTTTAGCTTTTAAACATCTTTAAGATGTTTGAGATGTTTAAAAGAATCTTTTAAGCCCTTTTTAGTCCTTTTGTTTAGATTTAATCAATTAAATATAAATAATATATATATGTAAAATGATTGAAGATACTAACCTTACTTTGCATAACCTAATTTTTGCCAAACCACAAATTGGACATGTAAATCAATCAACATCTTTCGCATTCGAATTAGAAGTTTGAATTAACTGAGAACTACACATAATTAATTGATAACTACACATAATTAACTGGAAACTATACACATATTGTATCACTCACAATTTTTTTTTCCTATATATCCTCGAACTCTATTCCTAGGTTACTTCAACCAATCGGGAAGACTAAGGGCCTCCGCACAAGGTGTTCCGTATCGCGTTACATTTAGTATCGATCGTAAACTTAACTTCGTACGTAAACTTAGGGTGACGTCCCATTGGTTCGTATTGCGTATCAGGCGTATCGAGCTCCGACCAATGACAGACGATCCGGTGTTTTTTGATACGCTGATGATCCGCTGAATTCATTAAGGTGTATTTTCACATACCGCTGGAACAAATAGTTGAAGATTTGTTGACAGATTTGTCGCTCGTAATCTAGCTACAATTTTAGGTGCGTTTTCGTTGCTGCTTCCTCGCTACAAGCGGTTGGTTCATGTTTGATGATATGATGTCACAAATAGTAACCGAGAATAAAAACGTTTCGAGCAGGCAATGCGCAAACACGCTAGCGGTTTGCTTCATGTGTCATGATCATGATGGATCCAAATGTGAGGTTATCTGTGTTATTTTGTATAATGGAAGTGATTGATGACAATTTATCACACATTGTGAATATTTGTCAATTACAAGCAGGGTTGTTCTTTTCTTTTTGAAGGATAGAATAACTCATTTCAAAATAGGAATAATTGCTAATGAAGAGTGGGTAACCTGTTACATTCATTCTCTTTTCGCACTTCGCGCCAAACAACCTACCACAACCGCACTATCATCGTCGAGACGAGACAGCTCCGATTAGACACAATACAATTGGACACAACTGGCTTTGATTGGCTAATCGTGCTTGATCGTGCTGGTTACCCTAGGCATCGGTCGATATGATTGGCTGTGTCTAATCGTACTATGTCTAATCGGGCAATCCCCGTCGAGACCATGGGTCTGTTCTTTTCAACTGCACTACTGCACTAGTGCAATTAGTTAGAGTGAAAGAAAGTATGTTTGTCTCTTTCTAACTTATTGCACTAGTGCAGCAGTACAGCTGAAAAGAACAGACCCCATGACAGCGCGGTAAAAGCTATCACGGCTCACGTGATTGCATCGATGACGTCACAACCAGAAACGAAAATGGTCTTGTTTGCCTCTGGTCACTCGTGGTAGCGAAACGAAAACGCACCTTTTGTAATTTAGATCGGTTCAACTACAAAGCATTATCGCTCAAACGATGCGTCAAACGCTGATACATTGCTGACAGTGCTACCATGCTGTATTAATTGTATGTACTAAAATAAAATTGTAGTAAATTTTCCAGTTGCGTTGATGACATACGAAAATAATTCAGAAATCTCGCATTTTCTAATGTCACATTTGCTAAAATAGCTTTGTAAAATCCATATTGATTATAATTTTGAAAAAGTGGTGCGACCCAGAATTTTTTTTTGAATGATGTCCTTTTTGTTTCTGATATGTTGATAATAATATAATAAAAACGATATTATTTTCGAATTGTATTTGACGTTTTCGTCGAATTATTTTACAATTTGATATTCAATTATAATATTTTCTTCTTTTGGAAGCTACCATTATTGCTTTCTACAACACAATTTTATCGCTGCAATATTTTTTCGTGTGCACAAGCTGTCGCTGTAATAGTTTAGCGACAAAAGTCGTCACGTGATCAATTTTGTCGCTCAAATGATCAGTTTCAGCGGCACGTGAAAATGCACCTTAAAGCTAAAATAACGTTGGTGCAACCGGGCCTAATCCTACTGCCATTGTAGACGACACTTAATCAATTCAGCTAAAAAGAACAAACCTGCTAGTGCCCGTCTGCGTTAGTTTCTGTTTACCTTCAGAGAGGAGAAATTGAAACATTGAAAGACATAATGATTCCTTTGCAGATCATTGCTCGAACGAGTAAAATTGGTATAGTATCAATATATATGATATTTAGTAATTTTCACAATTGTGATAAAATTGACTTTGTTGTATTATAAAATGTAATTTTCGAATAGAATATTTTTTTAAATTTTTATTAAGTTTCCAAAAGCTTTGACATTTTATGATACGCTAAAATTATACATCATATTTGTAAAAAAGATTGCGTTAAGTTATCAAGTTATACATTAAAAGATTGCTATATTGAGGTTATATTTTAATATTTTCATATTTTATAGGAATTTTGGCAGTATTATAATTAATTTCTAATGAATATATTTTTATTATAATTAACTTCTAATGAATATACATTTTATTCATGTTTTTTTGCAAGTAGATTACCTATAGACAAAATTGTATTTATTTTATTATTAAAATCATTGTTTTATTTATTTCATTAATATTATCAATAACTGTATTATGTTATTCTTATGACAGTTTGAAATAAAATGAGTTTTTTTGTAATTGTGCAATAAAATATAACATTAATGCCATACATATTTTAATCGTCAGTTTTGATTAGCTTTTAATGACGATTAGATTTCTTGGTTACAGTATGAAAAATTAACTTTGACTTATTAATGCCCAAATTTACCAATATTGTTTAGCTTTAGTTTTAGTTTAACTCACTCTGTCTTTTAAACTAAGATTACTAAGATAAAATTAAACAACATTAGTGAAATTAGGTATAAAAATTTTTTTTATATTTTATAGAAAATTAATATTTATTTTATCTATGCAAAACACTTCTATTAAAATTCTATATCATATGATACAAAGTTTAAGTAAATTTAATCTTATTAGTAATTGTTCTATACAGAATTGTGTAATTATATGATATATAACTTTTAGATGATTTTCTTGTTAAAGCAAAACAGATGATGTCAAACTTTAACAATTAAATTAATACTCATTGATAAATTATATATATATATATATATATATATATATATATAATAAACAAAAAATATTTTATTATAACATGTTCTGTTTTGTCAATTTAAAAAATTTTATTGTATATATTTATTTATTTATTTATTATTTATTTATTATTTTTATTCAGAGTTTTTGATGAATCATTTAAGACATTGAAATAATATGAATAATGTTTATGGTATATTGATATTGATATTCTGTATATTGATATTCTGTAAGCACAAAGGAATTTTTTAACATACTAAGTCCAGAGATTTTGCATCAATTTTCCTAAATAAATAAAGACAGACACATATTTAAGACACTTGCTTAAAGCCAAACATAGTGCAATCAGGCCTTAATATTACAGAAAATTTTAATTTTCTTATATAAAACTGCAAAGACTAACTAAAGTGCTGCTTCCCTTGAATTTTATGCCACTCAATTTGGTGGTTGAAATAGCTGTCAGAAGAAAGTACTCATTGAACTTACAATAGTATAAATTTCACAATAGTATAAATTTTCTAATATTATGGACCTTTTGTTCTAAAGAAAATGGGCTTTCAAAATTTCAAGTCTGCCACTTACTGCTATCAGTTGCTTAGTAGCGCATTGTTAATTTTTTTTACCCATTTTCTCTGAAATAGCAGATCCATTATCCATGCATCAAAAAATTTATACTATTATAATCAGCTTCAGTATTTCTTTCTAAATCATTTTGATCATCAAACCAAGTAATAAAAAATTGAAGAACCTACGGCCATTTGGCTGCATTATTTATTATTAATTTTAAGAATTATATACTTTTGTCTTATGTGTTTATCAGATTTATTTTCTATGAACAAATTTTTACTCTTTTTTTTATGTTGATGAACTAGCTAATATTGTTATTTTTACATATTACTTTTTATTCAATGTATAAAAGAAATTATCATACAAATTTGAGATGACACATATTGGACAGAATCTATATAAAAACTCTATATAAAATCTATATAAAAACTTTTATTATTATTAAATTGTATCTATATTATTTTATATGATATGATATGTAAATAATTTTAAAATTAATTTTGAATATTTCAGCTCCAAAATTTGGCAGGTTTACTTCATATGGTATAAACATATGTTTGAACCGAAGTAAATATTACTATGTAAATGAGCAAAAAGACAAAACCTGGACAGATATTATGGAAGCTACAACCACACATATGTTTTTTCTCGAAATTATGCGAGGAATGGGTCTTATTGTATCTCAAATATTTAGAGAACCAGCAACAATAAATTATCCATTTGAGAAAGGACCTTTGAGTCCTAGATTTAGAGGTGAACATGCATTAAGAAGGTATATTTTCTATAATAAATAAATATATTTACATCTTTTTAAATATATATCATACAATTTTTATAATATTCTGCATACATGCATATCTAATATATAGCTTTATATGAATTTTTTTTATTATTTAAGTGAGATATTTAACTTACAAACTTTCAAATCTTATAAATTATATCTTGTATAAAAAATTGACAGATGATTTTGAGAGGCTCATTATATAATATATATATTTTTTATAATATGAAACGTTTCAAAGAGTTAAAGGTTTTTTTGTTTAATGAGATATTTTTTATATTTTATGAGATATTTTTTATATTACAGTTAAAAATATATTGAATTTTGAATTAAAAAAATATATTATCATTTATTGATTCTAAACATAATAGACAACGTAATAAAGATATTGAAAAGGTAATAGGGAGAGAGGGGGGGAGAAGAGGGGAGAGCGAGCACGGGCGAGCGAACGAATGAGTGAGTGAGTAAGTGAATAAGTGAATGAGTGGGTGAGTGGGTGAGTTTACAACAAAAGTAATCCTTTTATTTTCAATTCAATATGGAACATATATATGTATATAATATATGTATATAAGTATTGCAAAAATAAAATTTAATAATGATGAAAAAATAGATATGCTTCTTATTTATGATGTACATTGAAAATGCATTAATGTTTAATGGATAACAAGTTTGAACAGCTATATAAGGTGATCTATATTAAAGTGTAATTTCTGTATTAAATTGTAATAATAATATACTCTATTGATAATAATAATATATTAAGTTAGAACGAATAATCGATAAGCCTACAACCAATAATATATTTTTTAGAATTTCAATATATTTAATAACTATGACAAAAAATATAATATATCATTTAAAAAAAACAAATTGATCTTCAAATATTTGAAACGTCTCTATTTATAAAAAAAATATATATATTTTATGTATAACAATTTTCTTGAAATCATACAACTGTTGTATGTAATAATTTTTTATATAACACATAATAAATTATTTTAATTAGATTATTAAATTATGTTAAATTATTTAGTTATACAAGTTAGATGCTTTACTCTATGTATGTGTTTTTTAAATTGATATACATATACTTTAATTTATTACTTTAATTTATACTTTGCATATTAAAATTATCTTATTTTATTTTAATATTTTCATTCAAATAATGATATTGAAAAGAAAATATAATAAATAATTCAACATTCTAAAAAATATAAAATATATATGTCGAATTATTTGTTACTTTCTTTTCACATGTTAGATATAATTTCTTTTTAAGAATTAAAGAAGAAAAGTAACGGCATCTTCTTAATGATAGATTCAACACGAAAATCTTAATACACAAATGTCGAGTACTATAGTATATTAATTAATTCGTTCCTTGGCCCCTCTTACGGAACAAGGGAAATGTAAAACTATGACACCATCAGTCAGTAGCGGATAATTAACGCTGATTAATCGACTTAATTATCGATCGCCGCAAAAAAACACTATTTTTAAATAAAATACTAGGTTTTCTATATATTAATATCACTTTAATGTTATTTCTTATATATATTCTTACTTCTAGCGAACTTCTTTGTGGTGATCGTAATTAAGTCGATAAATCGATATTAATTAGCCGTTGTCGACTGATGATGCTATGATTATAATTTTATCATTCTTCTTATTGCGCCAAGGAGCCAACGAACGAATTAATGAAGAGTAGTATACTTTTTAAGTGAAAAGCGATTATATTTTTCGAATAATAGAGTTGAGATTTCGCGTGCTCAAACATGATGAAATGGTAAATAAAAGAAATACTCTTATGAAACTTCCTGATTTAATTACTTTCTACTGGAACAATTACACAATTTGTATTTCATTGCAAATATTTTAAAATATTCCAAAATACAAGATGAATAAATGGCAAATCTAATTCTATTATAATTTATTTAGCTCGTACAACATAGCAAAATAAATATCTTCATATCAATATATTTTATATCTTCAATATTGATTGATCTTTGACAGCTGAAATTGAAACATGCCGCAAATTTTTACTTGAATCATTTTTATGATGTCGTTAATTCTTGTAGCTATTCGTAAAAAGAAGTACTAATTTAATGTATGGAGAAGCAGAAAATATATAATGACAATACTATTGTAAATTTCTACAATAATTATAATATGATAAAAAGGGCATCTTATTCATAGGAGCATTTCTTTCATTTGTCATTTCACCTAAGCGTGTGAAATCTTAGTTTATTATTCATGTGTGAAATATATTCGCTTTCTATTACTTTATGCTTCTTATGGTTTTGCTTCATTACAAAGAAATATTTTAAATGAAATTTTTTAATTTTTCCTTTATTGTGAATATAAAACTAATAAAATCTATAAATTGATGTAATATTATTTTTATAATAGAATTATCCAAACTAGCTATATTTCTTTATTTTATTTAGATATCCCTCTGGAGAAGAAAGATGTATTGCTTGTAAGTTATGTGAAGCAATATGCCCTGCACAAGCTATTACCATTGAAGCAGAAGAAAGAGCAGATGGATCTCGACGTACTACAAGATATGATATTGATATGTCTAAATGTATTTATTGTGGATTTTGTCAAGAAGCTTGTCCGGTAGATGCTATTGTAGAGGTATCAAAGTACTTTTGTTAATAAAATAGAGAAGACGTAAAATAATATAAAACGAAAGAATTTTATAATTATTTTAAAATCATATTATTAAGAAATCATTTTGCAGGGTCCAAATTTTGAATTTTCAAGTGAAACTCATGAAGAAATGCTGTATAACAAAGAAAAACTTTTAAATAATGGAGATAAATGGGAATCTGAAATTGCTAGTAATATCCATGCTGATCATTTATATCGTTAATAGTTGTGTTATAATGTAGTAACAATTAATAATGTAAGTAAACATAAATGTAAAATAAATTAAATAACAAGGAGAATTTTATTTAAATAGAAATATGTAGAAATATATTATTATATGATAAAAATATATACAATATATATTATTTAAATATAATAATAAAAATGTAACAAATAATTACACTTCTGTGTTTAAATATTTTTTATTAGACATGCGAATTCGCAGGCATCGCCACAGCCTCTTACATTTATATTTCGACGATTTATTAGAGCATTTTGTCTTTCTTGATGTGATTATAAATTCCGTTTTTACCCAGTAAGTAAAATGTTAGCAGTCTGCAGCAGCATACGAGCAGATTCAAACAGAATATTGCGACAGATTGGCATCAACTGCGTCTGCATTAAGCTTGGGTTCTGCTAGCAGAATCTGTCACCATAAACCGACAGCAGATTGACAGCAGAAATCGAGCAGGATCTGCACGTGCAATTTGATGTTAGATTGTCAGCAGAAATCGAGCAGAATCTGCACATGCATTTGCGATGGCAAATTGACAGCAGAAACTTCACAAGATTTACTTTTATTAATGTTATATAAATGCAACAAAATTGATTATTACAGGTGCTAAATAACAATATTATCGGCAAGTTAATTAGAATTTTATTACAAAATGACATACATGTAATATGTTATATCGTAGTTATATCTCATATAGCGAAGGACTAATTCAATTTAATTAAATTAATAATAAAGTAAATGATAAAATGTAACTTGTAAAATTTGAGATGTAATTTATTTAGAATTAAATTCTTGCTTTATGCCTCAAATAGGCAGTACATGAATAATTTTCCATTTATCATATTGATTCCAATTAGTTTAATATTCTAACTCTCATTTGCTTGTATCAGATATCAGAAATTAAAGTGATAGAAATTAAAATGATAATTACTATATTTTTAGTCTTATTCATATTCGCGATTTTATATATATTTCTGAGAAATTAGATTACGAGAAAGTACAGCTCGTAACGGTAAGTGAAGGAACTATCGAATCATGCAAACTCTGTTCCGTTTCTGCCATCAATCTGCTATCACAGATTGTGTGCGCAAATCCTGCTCGATTTCTGCCGACAATCTGTTGTCAAATTGCGTCGCACAGATCCTGTTCAATTTCTGCCATCAATCTGCTATGATAATTTTAAACAAATCCTGTTCAGTTTCTGCTATCAAATTATATCAGAAGGTTTTGTAACATTTCTGCTGACATTTTGTTATCATTATTTGATATAACAAATTTTTTATACAATCTGCAATCTTACTGTCGACAAAAATTTGTAGCAGAAATTGACAAAATCTGTTTGAACAGACTTTGCTGACTGGGTAGCTTTATATGAATTTTTTTATTATTTAGGTGAGATATTTAACTTACAAACTTGCAAACCTTATAAATTATATTTTGTATAAAAAATTATCATATACAAAAATTGACAGATGATTTTGAGAAGCTCATTATATAATATATATATATTTTTTTATAATATGAAACGTTTCAAAGAGTTAAAGGTTTTTTTGTTTAATGAGATATATTTTTTATATATTTTATGAGATATATTTTTTATATTACAGTTAAAAATATATTGAATTTTGAATAAAAAAAATATATTATCATTTATTGATTCTAAACATAATAGATAACATAATAAAGATATTGAAAAAGTAATTAGGAGAGAGGGGAGAGCGAACGAGTGAGTTTGAACATTCTATATTATACATTGATAAAACTGATCATTAGTTGTTATTATTTTGAAATGTCACTTATTATATTCAAAATAACTTACTCTTTATATTCTCTTTATATATGTGTCATTTAGAAAACTCGTTGCATCGTAATAGCGGAAAGATGATTTATTTGTAGGAATACCTGCAGCACTATTCCTTTTTTCAATGCTTTGTATTTTCTTAAAATTCCTAGCACCTATCCGCAGTTTTGTTGTCTAATAATAATAAATAAATGACATCGTACAAATAAATAGAGTAATTGAATTTTAACTACTATAAGTATGCTGAGTTAGATTATAATGTTAATTTAATAATAGAAAGAGTCATACATTTCTAACTAACATTCCATGTACAATATGCATATTGTATATGGAATGTTAGAAATGTATGACTCTTTCTATTATTAAATTAACATTATAATCTAACATAACTCAGCACACATATCATAATTACAATACTTACAGACGACATTACATTCCCCTTTTTTAATCAAAATATACAAAACGTTAACTTTATCATAACATTCTCTCTTAAGTGACAGTTAGATATTTGAATTTACACACACGCCGAAGTCTGTTCCGAAAAATAATTACCATGGGAAACCCAGTTTTAAAAAACGGAACGGAATAATGCCGATTGGTTAGCTCCCCACCTTTCCGATTATTCCGACGTCTATGAGACGGCACCCTAACAGATTCTTTATAACAATGAAAAAACAACAATTATATGAATTTCCAGTTTTAATCGAAGAGATTAATAAAATAATATTGTTTTTAAATAAAAATGATATGAAGAAAGCAAGCCAAGCTAATATTAATATATTATTTTATCTCGATTTATTATTTTATTTATATTTATTTATATTTGTACTTATTATTATTAATATTTATTTATGTTTATATCTATTACTTATTTTTATTTATATTTATTATTTATTTTTTTATTTTATTTGTATTTATTATTTTATTCTATTTTTATCTTTTTTTTTACTATTTGACCATTTTCAAATCTCATCTCTCATAAGACTCATAAGAACTCATTTGAGTGCAGTTTGATTTTAGTTTCTGTAAAAGTAACAAAAATTACTACAATCATTAAAAATGGACCCGACGTGCCAGATTCCATATGAATTGCGAATCATTGTGATTTTCTTTAGTTAAATAAACTTACAAAGCAAAATATATCGATTTTCTTATATATTTTCTTTATATTGTATACTTTTATAGAGTGTTTCCAAACTTATGGAGGGTACTGTATATATATCAAGAGACACGGTATATATATATTTAAATAATTAAATGTAAATACAACATATAAATAGTTAAATTTCTATTCATATTCATAATTGTTATCACAATATTCATCTTCAGATGTCGCATGAGATTCAAGTATCTGTCCAAGTGATATTTCCGTAGATTCAGGTTCTTCTTCGTCAAAATAGTCATCATTATCATAGACTGTAACAGAAATAGAGAATTAATAAAATTTATTAATATTTAACACTATTATTTATTAGTACTTAATAAATATTAATCATAGACTAAAAATGAAAAGATTATACAACCATTTTCGGTCATATTCGCTGTAACTGCATCTACCGAATTAATTTCTTTTTTCGTGAATTCTTCATCTTCTTTTTTTAATGTTTTATATTCTTTTTTTGATGGCTCAGTATTCGGTTTAATAGAACGATATTTTTTCGGTAGAGGAGCGTCTGCAGTCTTCAGTGTAGAATTGATCGTTACTCTAATAGATATATAATAATTATTATGTATTTGTCAAGCGATTAAAATTGATTTATCCAAAACTATGAAATAATATATACTAACGGATTATTAATAGTTACGTTGTCTAACTCTAACATGTTTTTTGTAAGTAATTCTTGATTGTTTTGTTGATTACTTTGTTGGTGATTATTTATGCTTTTTAACACTTCATAATTAATTTTGGATGATATTTTTTTTTCTTGCAGCATTTTCTCAATTGCTTCACCTAATGAGAAGAAGAATATAAAAAACCTCAATATATGTATAATAAATATATCAATAAATAAAAACAAAAAGTAAACTTACTAGCGGTATTCGCAGGCATTTTGTTCTTCCTGGAAACTGTCTTTCTTTTTTTCTTTTCATTTTTACCTTCTTCCTTCTCTTTCAAACGCTTTTCTTCTTTTTCCTTTTGCTGAACAAGATAGTCAGCGTTTACTTTGTTCCAAAGAGCAGATTTAGATTGCGATTCTTTTTCCGAAAGAATGTAGCTATCTAATTCTTCATCATCAATGTCACTTAAGTAAATTTCCTTAGAAGACTAACAAAAAAATTTCCTAATTATTATTATAAATGTCCAGTACATAATATTATAGATTAATTAATTAAAAAAAAAAAAATAAAGACAAGTTTTATATTTTATATTTAAAATATAAAAGAACAAAAACAAAGTACTTATAAAGCGAGGCTACAGTTGACTTTTCACCGATTTTAATCTTCTTGTTGTAGTGAATCTGAATATAGTTAGGCCCTGTAAGAGTTTTTCACCTCCATTGCGCTTTTTTAAAGTAATATTTAAAATTTTAATGATCGGCAATATATGTTGTAAAACATAATGAAAGACAGATTTTCAACTAGTGCTGTATGCTTGTATGCTATAGTGAATGAGTGCAAGATTAGTAACAGAGAACCCGGGAGCGAAATCTATGGTTTCGAGCAATTTCTTTTGTTATTTTTTTAAATAATTTTATATGTAATATATAATTATTTTCAGGGAAAGTTACTTTTTAAAAGTAACTCGTTACCGTTACTCGTTACCGAGTAAAAAAAGTAACTCGTTACCATTATTAGTTACTTAATTTTAAAAGTAACTAGTTACCGTTACCGTTACTTTAAAAGTAACGATTCATTACTTTTAATATTAAAACAAGATAGAATTAAATAAAAAATTTACTTGAGTAATATTTTTTATTAAAATATTAATATAAAAGCAACAAATTCTTTATTTTAAATTTACAAAACTGTAAAAAATTTAAAGAGATATGGATTTTAAAGCACTTAACATGTAACTTCACATGTAAATAAAAACATTTTAATTTCCATTAAATTTATAAATACAGCTAAATTTGCATTCTTTTGTGCTCTCGTCCGATATTACGTCAAACTTAAAAGCTGGCCGATCACATCCATTCCTCAGAAGAATGAAATAACTGTAATTGACCAATTATGTCATTAATCGCTCCAGAAGTGTCTGTGAAGCTGGCACGACAATCTACGAATTTCAAAAAAATACTAAGAGTTCTGATAGTACTTTTCATAATTCTACAGTTCCTGATAAAAATTAAAAAGAGTAAAAAATGTTAAAAAATCGAAATCGAAAAAATGTGGTGTTAACTTCAATAAATTTCGTCCGAAATATTATCGAATTTTATATGAATATCGGTCGATTACTTAAAATTGAATATGATAGAAATAAGATGTCATAAGTATTTTTGAAATATGAAAAGTAACGGTAAAAGTAACTGCTAAATTCGTTATCGTTATCGTTACTAAAAAAATGTAACTACGTTATCGTTACAATTAAAAAAAATGTAACGCCGTTATCAAAAAAGTCCATTACCAAAAAAAAGTAACTATAACGGTAACAGCGTTACAAGTAACGCGTTCCTTCTCAACCTTAATTATTTTATATATTATATATACATATAATATATAAATTATTTATTATATAATATTTAGCATATATTTGTGTCATTTATATAACAATAAAATAATTTATTTATTATAAATAACTTATTTATTACATATTTATATTTTACTATTTATATTATATTTATATTATTATTTATATTATATTTATATTATTTATATTATATTATTTATATAATTATATTATATTATTTATATAATAAAAAATTATAGAAAAGGTGTGAATATTTAAAAATAAAAGTAAAAATATTTCTCTATAAAAATTTCATTTATATTTCATTGTCATTTTTATGCAGACAAATATATTAGAAGATATATACGCGTATTTAAATATATGCCAAAATATTTATTTTTACATATAAGTAATTTATATTACACATATATCAAACAATTATACATATATTACATATAAAATAATTTAAAAAAATAAAAAAAAGAAATTGCTCGAAATTACGAATTTTGATCCCAGGTTCCCTCTATTACCCATATAGCACAAAAGCTTGCAACAACATTGCTGCAATGTTACAACATTGCACATTGCAGTGTAATGCTACAGAAATATTGCAGAGACATTATTTTGTAACATTACTTTGGCAATGTTGCAGCAACATTTTAACATAGCGAAAATGTATAACATGTGTTTCTTTACTTGTCGCTACGTGGCGACACCAAACTTAACTAATTCATATTTGAATTTTCATTTAAAATGGATATAAGCTCTATAAAAGATTAATAATTAAAAGTAATTATATTACTTTTAATTTTAATATTAATAATTAAAAATAATTATATTTCTTGTCTTGTATTAATTTAATTTCTGATAACTTGATTTATTTAATATTCTGAATGACTTGATTTATTTAATATTCTGAATCCTAACAAGGAATCTAGATTATTAAACAAATGATTTGTTTAATAATCTGGATCCCTCGTTGAGATTCAGAATATTAAACAGATTTTCTTTAATTTAAATGGATAAATGGGAAATAGTTCATTTGTTGCACGTATTAAAATATTCTGGTGTCGAGGATATGTAAAATAATTGTATGTATATTGAAATAAATATTTAATAAGAAACATTTAATAAAAAAGACACTAATAGATGATTTTTTAAAAGCGTGAAACTTTTTTTAAAGTTAAATGTTTTTTTCCTATCTTTTTTAAACACTTTTTATATTTTCAAAGTTTATTTATTAAATTTAAAACAGTCTGCATTTGTAGCAAAACGCGTTTTATAATATATTCAATATATAGATTCACACAAAAAAGGAAATCAAAATCGGTGAAGTCAATCTCTCCTTATTAGATTATACATATAAATCTAAGAATAATATATAATAAAATACTCGTACTTTATAAAATTGTAGTTTATAATTAGGATTTTGTAATTTTTGAATTCAAAACACAGAGATTAAAAAAAATATTTACCTCTTCCTTAGTATTATCTTTTTCTTTCGATTCATTTGGACAATTGTTCGCAAACATCATCGATGCTATATCCGGACCTATATGATTCATAAAATTACAAATTAGAATGATAAAATATAATGATATTAAATAATTTTATATAGATAGGTACCTAATCTTCTAACAATTGAACTATTACTCTCATCTCTAATACTGTCTCGATAGTTTTCATCAGGATCATCGATATGATTCTCAACATATTGTTGGATTATGTTCAAATGACTCTCTTGAATAAATCTATCTGCGTCTTCATTCTCTATAGAAGATACTGTAAAAGATGTTTATAAGATATATATATATATATATATATATATATATATATATATATATATATATACAAGGTGTTTCAGAACGACCGTATCAGCAGTTTTTTGAGAAAACAAACGCATTTTCATGAAAAATGTTTCATACAAAAGTTGTAGGGCTCTAAGCGTATTATATAATAATATTAGTATGACCTTGAATAGCACCGTCAAGATCACATAAAAATCACTTTAAATTTTTTTAATGGGACCCCCTATTTTTCATTACATATTCTTATTGCTTATCTCGAGAATTTTCCAAAACATTATAATTAAGTTATTCATTAGGTACTTTCCAAAACATTATAATTAAGTTATTCATTAGGTACTTTCCGAGTTATGAAGCTTAAAATAATTTCTTAATTTTACACAAACCATAAAATATCTAGTAAAATATTCATTTTTCAATTATCTTATCTTAATATTTTTATGTATAAAATAATAAGAGGAATTAATTGGTGTAAAGAAAACACATAATTGTTTCTAAAAAAAAATATGTAATTTACTTATGGTTTTATTTTGTTGCAAGATACCAGAAACACCTTGTATATGTAAATAGCAAGTATTTATTTTCATATAGCCTAAAAAAATTTTTGAGTGATATATTTGATCAAAATCATGATTAAATTATAGGCGATTTTTGACGATAGTTTGGTACATGTACCAAGGTACCAAGATTGTTTTTGGTAGATGCGGAGCTTATTCTGGTATCTAACATCTTGTACCCTGCTGTATTTATGGTATAGCGTGATATCAACCAGCTAGATACCAAAATGACTCGCTTCTATCACAAACTACCAAACGCACAAAAATGTTCTGATAGAATTTGATATACTTTGATTGATATACCACAGTGATGCCAAAAATTGCCTTTTGTGAATCATGATTCTAAAAATTTTTAAAGTTTCAAATTTTTAGTCATCATTTGACGATTAGACAATTTAACAAATATTTCTGTTTGTATTTCATTACAACTAAATTCCAATGCAAAAAGTTTTAAAGCATGGTAGTAATTCGTCTTTTCAAGTATATATTAAATATTGTTATTTATATAGAAAATAAGAAATTTTTATTAAAAGAAATATTTATTATTTAAATTAAATTGAATAAATTATATATTGTAGTAAAATTAAATATTAATAACTAAATTAATAAATAATTATCAGAAAATTGATAAAGATCTAAATTTATTTAATTTATTATTTGATCATATAATCTTCTAAAGATTTTTAAAAAGGAACTGAAATATTCGATTTTTAATTTTATGCAGAATTTTTTTATATAATATATTCGTTTTGTGCCTGAACAAATTAAACTCTAGTTCTTATTTGCCGTTTTATTATTTTTCTTTTAAATATTTATTTTATATATTTATAATTGTTATATACAATTATATCTAAATAAGAAAAAATTAATTCTCTGATATTTATAAAATAATATATGACATTATAATTACCATTCTTTCGTTTTCTTCCTTTCCCTATTCTATAATCTTCCAATTGTCTATCAATTTCCGCTTGCAGTTCGCTTATTTCCACGTCTATGTTTTCTAACTAAAAAAAAATACTTTTAGAGTAGTAAATTTTTATATAAGCCCAGTAAGCAAAATGTTAGCAGTCTGTCAGCAGCATGCAAGCAGATTCAAACAGAATATTGCGGCAGATTGGCATCAACTGCGTCCACATTAAGCTTAGGTTCTGCTAGCAGAATCTGTCAGCATAAACCGACAGCAGATTGACAGCAGAAATCGAGCAGGATCTGCGCGTGCAACCTGATGGCAAATGGACAGCAGAAACTTCACACGATTTGCGCTTTTATTAATGTTATATAAATGCGACAAAATTGATTATTACAGGTGCTAAATAACAATATTATCGGCAAGTTAATTAGAATTTTCTTAGAAAATGACATATATGTAATATGTTATATCATAGTTATATCTCATATAGCGAAGGACTAATTTCAATTCAATTTAATTAAATTAATAACAAAGTAAATGTAACTTGTAAAACTTGAGATGTAATTTATTTAGAATTAAATTCTTGCTTTATGCCTCAAATAGGCAGTGCATGAATAATTTTCCATATATCATATTGATTCCAATCAGTTTAATATTCTGACTCTCATTTGCTTGTATCAGATATCAGAAATTAAAGTGAAAAATTAAAATGATAATTATTATATTTTTAGTCTTTTATTCATATTCGCGACTTTATATATATTTCTGACAGAAATTCAATTACGAGAAAGTACAGCTCACGTAGCGGTAAGTGAAGGAACTATCATGCAAACCCTGTTCCATTTCTGCCATCAATCTGCCACTAAGTTATGCCGGCAGAATCTGTTCGATTTTTGCTGCCAATCTGGTAACTGATTATGTTAACAAGTTTTGTTATATTTCTGTTGACATTCTGCCGACATCACATGATATATCAGAACCTGCATCGATTCTGTAATCTTTCTGTCGACAACAATTTGTAACAGATTCCCTGACAAGATCTGCTTTAGCAGACTTGGCTATTAGGGAGTTTAAAACCTAAATTAACTTAAATTTAATTTTGAACTTTTACAAGTGAGAATATTTTCTTTTCAAGTAAGAAAGTAAGAAATATAATTTAAAGAAAATCATATACCCCTTGTAAACGTTCTCTATCCTTTTTACGTGCTGCTTTAAATGCTGGAGGATCTTCTTCTTCTAAATCCACTGTTTCAAATTCATCTAAGGTCAAAGCACTAGATGGTGTGTCGCCAAATTCCATTAATCTACATATAAGAAAAAATTCTTATTAACATATATCTTATTATGATATAAATAACATATAAATATATATTTTACCTCTTGCGTAAGGTGGATTCATGTACTTTAACAATTTTTATAATATCAGCAGGTGATCTGTTAAATTCGTGCAATCGCGCAGCAATCAGTAAAGCTATGGAATAAAAATATATAAATAAATATATAAATAAATATATAATTAAATATATAAATATATAAATAAATAAATATATAATGTGTGTGTGTGTGTGTGTGTACATATAAATACATATGTAATCGCGTATGCAAGCATAAAGAGTGCACAAAATTCAGAATGGCAAAATATTTTGAAGAAAATATTTTTATTTATAAAGTATAAAGATTTTAGGTATTAAATAATATATTTAAAAGTTTGTTAAGTCCTGAATTAATTTTCAAAAGTCATTAAAAAAATTTTAAATAATAATTTCTATTTTTTTAATTCTTATAGTGATTGCTAAGATATCGGCAGATTGATCGAACAGAAATCAATATCTTTCGGAGACAATTTTCAAAAATTCATTGCAATAGTAATCGAAAACAGACTCTTAATATAAGTCATTGGATCTTATATATCTATAAAGTCATTGGATTTATCTCTTTAAAACTTATCAAATGATATTTTTTTTTTTCAAAAGTCTCTAAAAAATTTATTTCCTCTACTTTGTTCTCTCTACTTCACAAAATGAGTTTCGTAGTTGGTTGCTAATTGTACTGTTTTTACTTTTCCGTTTAAGAGATTACATTTTACATAATATAATTGAAGATTAAATCAAACATATTTATACGGGGCATTCCAATACTCCCAATTGAACTTTTAATAATATATTTCTGAGTAAAAACTGAGTCGAAAATTCTAATACAAAAATATTGAGGCTACAATAGTTTTTGAGTTATATATAAGCGATCAAAGTCAATGATATCGTGTGATATCTTATTGATTTTTTCGGATGATATTGATTTTTATTATGTAGCTGATTTCATTTTTTAAAATTTATTTTATAATGATAATAGATAAATTTCTACAAATATTTCTTTGATTAAAAAAATGTATCTCATTTTCCAAATAAATTAAAACATTAGATTTTATAAAGGAAAGCTCAAAATAGATGAGAGATGGAGAAATATATTTTGAAAGAAATGAAATGTCTATATAAAAAAGATAGAAATTTAAAAGATTATTAAAAGATTAAGAGAAGAAGATTTCGAAGTAGTAGAGAGGCTGAGCGAAAGAGATGTAGAGAATCAAAAACAGGCTCAACAGAATAAAATTCAGAATTCTAGATATAAGATATAGAAAGTTATACACTATAGGAATATCAGAATATTTAAGAAAACAATGTCAGAAAGATTTTCAAAAGATCATAGCGAGATTTAGAAACAAGTTTGTGGAAACAAAGACTCCGGAATAAATTTTGGCGTGAACAGGAGAAGAAATTGTGTAGGATATGTAAGAAGAAAGTAAAAACATTAGAGCATTTAGCAACAAATCGTATAGAATATGAGGAATAATAAAAGAATGAATCAAATTAGGAAAAAGAAGAGAAGGAATGAATTGGATATGAGGAATAATAAAAGAATGAATCATTTTAGGAAAAAGGAGAGAAGGAATGAATTGGATGAAGAAAATTTTAAAGTTAAGAAAGGAGAATAAGACCAAAGAAATTATCAAAGACAATCTAGAAGTAATTGAAATTGTTCTAGGATAAGAAACAACATTGTATAAGTTAAGCATATTTTTATGTAAAATATTATAAAATCTAGAATGTATATTTTATGTAAAATCTCTTTCAATGCCGAAAGGCAAGAAGTAAATAAATCTATCTATCATTAGATTTTATAATTCTGTTTAAATGTAATAATTGAACAATTATTTAAATTTTTATTTAAAAAAATGAAACATTTTCTGTATATTATTTATAATTTTTTAATACTAATTAATCATCATAATGTACATAATAAACATGCACGAAACGACAAAATAACATCAGCTATAATAGAAATCAATACAATCTGACATGAAAAAATCAATAACAGATGAATAACAGATAAATAACAGATCAGTACAGGTTACAAAAACCATTCAATATTTATATAGTAGATAGGACACATATTAAAAAAAACTTTAGTAAACGTAGATCGAAAACTCAAAAGTTTCTGAGATATAAACATTTTTATGTATTTGCAGTAAATAAAATGCAAAATTCGGATTCCAAGTAAAGACAGGAATGTATGTAAAGGAGGAGATCAAATGTGTCTATATGTTCATTTGGCCAACAAGCGGTAGAATTCATCTGTGGCAAAAGTACTGACGCATATATCCTGTATAGAGAACATTTACACATTTTTCAGCCGAACATTTATTAACAAACAATTATTAAAAAATAATATTTGTGAACTAAAACAATATGTGAAGCACAAATGGCTGGATCAGGATTCGAATTCAAGTCTTTCGTTTTAAGGGCAATTGCTCTAAACCACTGAGCTATCTAGATCTCACACCTAATGCCGCTATTTAATAATTACTATTTAATAATTATACAGAGTGGCCCCGAACGTTCTAGCCAGACTTTGAGATCTTATAGGAAATTTAATTCTGAACAAAAAATTGCCTATAAACATGGGTCGAAAAAAATGCTTCCTTAAGAAGTTATCGCTCAAAAATCTCTGATGAAAGACGAGTAAAAGGTGAAAAGAAAATGAAATAAAAAGAAAATAAAACTAAATAAATTTCTTCTAAAAAACGATAAAAATAAAAAAATAAAAATCTTTTTCTTTTATGAAAATAAAATAATTTTTTTTAACTAATATTTTAGTAATAGCACGTAATAGTAGAAAATGAATAAAGACGTTTTTCAAGATAAAGAAAGGGATATGTATGTGAGGGAAGAAATCAGGCATATGTTTACGAAGGTTTTTTTACTTAGTGTGTCCTATTTAGTATATAAATACTGATTTTTTTTAAACATCTTATATATGTTATACATGTAGTATTATGTATGTACATATTTTAAAAAATTATTGCGAAAAAAACTTTGAATCAATATATCTTATTTCAATATATCTTATTTCAATTCATACAATTTAGTAAAATTATTTTGTAAAATCATCTCGAGACTAATTATAAAAAATAGAAAGAATAAATTGCTATTTGAAATTTTTTTTTATAATCATAATCTTTGAAAAACTAACTTAAGATCAAATTATTAATAATGATATCATTAATAATATAACTATTATTAATGATATCATTATTAAATTAAATTATATAATATTTTGCTCATTTTTTGTATTTAAAATTATTTCAATATATCTTTTGTCTCCAAAATATTTTAGCGTCAATTTGATTTTTTCTATCCAATTTTAAAAGCATTTACAACATTTTAAAAAACATTGTTATCAAAATAAAAGAAAACATTATTATCAAAATAATATATCTAAAAAAAAATTTGTTTCAACCTGCACCACATAGACCGGATGGTCTACGACCAATATGAATACTATCCTTATTCATTCTTTGAAGTATTCTGGTGGCTGTCCGAGCTACGGCTTTAGTTTCCTTTCCAAATTCAAGTTTCCGCGCAAACTTTTCGATGTATAAACAAGGATCTAAAAAAAAACAGATAAAAGATATTTATCAATTTGTATTCTTTTTTTTTGGTAAAACTACATATTAGCGACGATCTCACCAATTTCGATGATCTTGACATATATTATCAAAAACATGTACCTGAGTAATTCAAAAGATTTTAGCCGTCGCCCGTTATTTATAACAAAGTTATAAATAATTAAAGATAGTGATTAATCAAAATCGAAATCACTCATCGAAATTGATGAGATCGCTAATATGCAGTTTTATCTTTTTTTTATTTTACATCACAAAAAGTTCAAATCTATTTCTTTAGTTCAAATTTTGAGTTATAGTATTTTTACCCCCAAATGGATAAAAAAATCGATTTTTTTAATTTTTATATTTTCTTATAGTATGATATCTTAAGCATATTTTCCTAAAGTTTCAAGCCGAAATTTAAAAAAAAAAATAAAAAAGTTACAACGTTTTAAAGAGATAGATAATCAGTTTCACGGTTGGCGAGAGAACATTACCTGGCAAGCGTCATATTTCTTTTTCTTTTTGTTAAATGTTAAAAAACATTAGTAATGTGTTAATGTCAAAAGAGAAAAGAATAAATATTGGATACAGAATATTGAACTTTACTTCACGATGATATTTGAGTGTGTGCAGTGTTTGCTGGTATCTAGATAAAATTAACTAGATAATTATCTAGATAAAGAAATGGATCATCTTTATCTTTAACTAGATGAAGAAATGCAAAGTATCTTTATCTTTATCTTAGATAAAAAATATATGTCATCTTATCTAAAAATTGACTAAAATGACGTTTTCATTATGCAAAAGAGTTTTCCAGGCTTCTAAAAATCTATCTAAAATATGTAAAATATATTTTTTATTTGGAAAATAATATTACAAATATACTTTATCTTGTACTTGTTTTACTTAAATGTGTGCAATGCATTAATGTATATTTTATAAAAATGATATATGTATTGTTACACATTGATTATTACATAGCTCCACACAAAAAAATGAAAAAATTATCCACTAACACACCACCCTTACGTAAACGACCACACTGAATCCAAATCCGAGGTCTAATTTGCTCATGTCAGGTTTTTCTCCTAACCTCAAAAAATAGGCAAAAAACGGTAAAACTCAACAATATCAACCCGACAACCTAATCAAATCTCATAACTCTATATCCCTATAACCCCATAACCTAAAAACTCATAATCCCAAAACCCCATAATTCCAAAACTCCAAAACCCTATAATCCCAAAACGCAGTAAGCAAGAGACTTACACGCGTTTAAACCCCAAAACTCAGAAAGTTCGATATGGGTTCCAACCCTATAACCCATTAAAAAATGGCGCACTTCTGTCCAGTGCATCCCTACCGGCGGGGTGCGGGAGAAGGGGCGAAGGCTCCGCCTTGCACTCCCTCGCGTGTGTATGGCCACAGCGAAGAAGTGTCGATTAAGTGTACTTCTTGATTGTGTAGACTGTCAATATTTAATTCCGAGCGTGACCGTTTCGAACGTGGCCATTACGAACGAATGGCCATTACGACCGTTTCGAACGTGGCCATTTCGAACGTGGTCAAATTATATCCACTCGATGATAAATAAGATAGTTTTCACAGTTCATTTTTTTTTTTGATACGTGAGAGGCAAGGGGACTCACGTGAGTCAAACACCCCAAACAGTGAGAGGCAAGGAGACTCACGTGAATCAAGCACCCCAAAGGGAACAGAAGCCTGTTACGTCGTTATTCCTGGGTATGGCTGATGTAGATAATTGCAATAAAGGAAACTTCGACCTTACTGGGTTTTGGGGTTATGGGGTTATTAAGTTTATGGGTTATAGGGTTGGAACGCATATCTGGATCGAACTTTCTGAGTTTTGGGGTTTAAACGCGTGTAAGTCTCTTCCTTACTGCGTTTTGGGGTTATAAGATTATGGGGTTATGGAGTTTTGGAATTATGGGGTTTTGGGATTATGAGTTTTAAGGTTATGGGGATATAGAGTTATGAGGTTTGATTAGGTTGTCGGGTTGATATTGTTGAATTTTTCCGTTTTTTGCCTATTTTTTGAGGTTAGGAGAAAAACCTGACGTGATGGAGCAAATTGGACCTTGGATTCGGATTCAGCATGGTCGTTTACGTATACTAAGGATGGTCTGTGTTAATGAGTAATTTTTTCATTTTTTTTTTGTGGAGCTGTGTTATATTATAAATATATTATAAATATATTAAAAATATAAATTAATAAATAGGGACTTCCGTTTCCGTTGCGTAGTCGGGTGGCACGTGTAAGTGTGGAGCGTATTATGGGAGTAAAAATAAGGGTGAAGTAGAGGAGCGAGGAGAGTGAAAGTGTATGAGGGTGAGAGTGAAGGAGTGAGAAGTAAGGTGAGAGCATAAGGAGTGACGAGGATAGAAAGGAAAAGGAGTGAGAGAGTGAAGAAGAAGGCGGTTAAGGTGACAGTTAGGAGGTAGGCAAGGAATGGATAGAGAGGAAAGTATAGAAAGGAGCAGGAACAGGAATCAGGTTACAGTAACTGTAGAGGGCGCCAAGTTAAGATGGCAGAAGTGAAAGGTAAAGGAATGACGGAAGGGAGGGAGAGAAGGAGGAGTTATGAGAATATAGAAGAGTTATTAAAAGGAAAAGGGAGGGATCGGGAAACGAAGAGGAGAAGGGGATATTCAGTAAGAGTAGGAAGACGGTTAGATTGCCGACAAAGAAGAGAGAGGAGAGAGTAGGAGAGAGTGAGATGGTAGAGGGTCCAAGAAGAAAGTAGGAGATATTGAGGAAATGATTAGGGAGTGGAAGGAAGAGATGAAAGAGGTGTTTAAGGTGATAAGAGGGATGAAGGGATGGAGGGAGGAGTTGAAGAAGATGAAAGAGGAAGTAAAAGAGGGAATCAAAGAACAAGGGAAGTTGATGAGGGGAGAAATAGAAGATATGAGAAGAGAGCTGAAGGAGAGGGAAGAGAAGTGGAGAGCAGAAAGGGAGGAGAGATGAGAAAGAGATTAGAAGATATGGAGAGGAAAGTGTTAGAGATGGAGAAGAGGGAGAAAAAGGAAAGGGCAGCAAAAGGGGGAAGGGAGGACACAGGGGTGGGGAGTGTAGAAAGAAAGATAAGGGAGATGGAAAGAAAGATAGAGATGAAGGAAAGAAAGGGGAAAAAGAGGAATATCCTAATAAGAGGGATGGAGGTAAGGGAAGAGAGGAGGAAGGAGATGGTGGAGGAAACCATGAGAAGGAGTAAAGGTCATTATAAAGGAGATGAAAAGAATATGAAGGGACAGGGAGAAGGACCGGGAGACAGTGTGGGTAAGGCTAGGGAGCGAAGAGCAAAGGAGAGGGAGGTATTAATGAAAAAGAGCAATCTGAGGGGCAGGAGAGAGAGAATCATGGAGGATTGGACGTGGAAGGAGAGAAGAATGAGATGGAAATTAGAGGAGATAGCGAGGAAGGAGGAGAGCGCGGGGAAGAGAGTGAGGATAGGTTATGGGAGGATAAGGATTGGGAACGTATGGTGGAGGTGGGACGAAGAAGAGGAAGTGCTGAGGGACGAGGAAGGGAGGGTGAGAGAAGAGGAACGGGGGGAGGAGGCAGAGGGAGGAGACATTGGCTGAGAGTTGAAAAGAGGGGAGGGAAAGAGAAAACTAAATTAGATTGTAACTCGGGTAGGAGGGGAGGGAGCAGAGGGAAGATGGAAGGCGGTGTTTTGGAATGTGGCAGGAGTGGGGGGAAGGATAAGAAAGGGGGGAAAGAGGGTTTGAAGAGATGGGAGGTGATAGTGTTGGTGGAGACGTGGATGGATGAGAGGGGTGGGGGAGGGTAAGAGGGAAATTACCAGGAGGATATGAATGGGGGGACACAGATTGCGAAGAGGGAGGGGAAGAGGGGGAGGTGTAAGGGGTGAATGTTGATGGGGATGAGGAAGGATTTGGTGGAGAAAGGAGGTATCAGCGAGGGAGAGATGGAGGGGATAATGAGAAGTAGGTTAAAGATAGGAGGGAAGGAATGGTGGGTGATAAGAGTCTGTGCAAGCGGGGGGAATAGGAAGAACATTAGAAGGATTGGAGAGATGGGTTGGAGACAGGGAGAGGGAAGTAAAGATATTAATAGGGGATGATTTTAATGCGAGAACGGCGAGCGAAGGTGGAGGAGTAGAGAGTGAGGAAGATGAGAGGAAGGAGGGAAAGGGTAGGGGGAGGAAGTCAAAAGACAACAAAAAAATAGGGAGGGGAGATTACTGATAGACTTTACAGAAGAATGGGGGTTAGGGATTTTTAATGGAAGAATAAAGGGGGATGAGGAAGGAGAATACACATACACAGGAGGAATACAGTGATAGATTACATAATGGGGGATAGGTTAGTGGAGGAGAAAGTGGAAAGAATAAGGATAGGAGACAAGGTGGATTCGGATCATCATCCGATAGAGGTGTGAATAAGAGGGGAGGTAAGGAAGAAGGAAGGAAAGAAAGGAGAAGGAGGGGGTAGAAGGGGGGTTTGGGATAAGGAGGAGAAGAGGATATTTAAGCGGAAAATGGAGGAGTTAATGGAGGTGGAGAGAGGAAAGGGAGAGGGGTTGGAGGAGGTAGGAAGAAAGATAAGGGAGGCAATGAGAGAGACGGAAAAGAGTGGGGGGAAGAAAGGAACCGGGGAATGGTGGAACGAGGAATGTAAGGAAAGGAAAAGAGAGATGAGGAGGGAATTAAGGGAATGGAGGAAAGGGGGACGAGGAGAAGGAGAATTGTGTAGAAAGAAAAAGAGGGAATATAATAAGTTATATAGAAGGAAGAAAGAGGAGGAGAATGAGAGATGGGAAAGAAAGGCGTTGAAAGTTAGAAGGGAGTATGAGGTATGGGAGATTGTGAATAGGGAAAAAAGAGGAAGGAGGAGGGTGAATGAAGAGATCAGGATAGAAGAATGGAGGGATTATTTTATGGAGTTGTTAGGAGGAGTGGAAGACAAGGTAGTGAGGGATATAGGGACAGAAGAGGGGAAGAGGACGGGGAGG